TGTGTGTGTGTGTGTGTGTGTGTGTGTGTGTGTGTGTGTGTGTGTGTGTGTGTGCGCCTAGATCCAACAGGCTGTGTCCTTCAAAGAACTAATATAATTTTGACAACCGTAGACTCAATCATGAGGTGTTTGCTTATTACCTCTTAGAGAGTACCTCACTTCAGGATGGCTACCTAATCTGCCTTATTTTGTGCTTTTATTGTGTTTTACCTTTTAAAATTTATATTAAACAATGTGACTTTTCTAAATTCCTGTCTTGGTTTGATATTTTTAAGCAAGCCTAGCTAATGTGTTTAAAACTATATCCTGGACTTTGCTCTTTGTGTAGAATGGCTGCCGTCCATTACTGTACTGACTCAGCACTTCAGTGGTTAATTAGTGGACAGAGATATTGTTCAGTTCAGTCTGTGAAAAGCCTGAAAAACACTGAGAAATAATTACATAAAYATACGATACGTGTAATTCTACGTATTTTATTTAATTTATTGRCTGTTTTTTAACGCCTTGTAACTCTGCAGCTTCAGTGGTTTTGACCTTCTTGTACCCCTCCCTCATTCCGTCACTCCTTRATCGTTCTGTGGTGACAATTAGTTATGCTCATGTCGTAACAGTCGCCACAGGGACTTGATGAACTCGTGAGGGGGAAGCAGCCACCAATGTGACCTGCTTGCTTCAGTCTTTGCTGTGCAGATCTGTCACTAAAAACCGTTTTGGACACTTCCAAACACATGCACGCATGTGTTTTAAACATACAGAACCATGCATATACACGCAAAACTTCTTTTTATTTGAACATTTAGCTGAAACAAATAAAGGATTTGTTGTACAGGATTCAGGCTCCAATGATACAGTAATTAATTATGAAGAAATCAACCGTGAGTTTGCTTTTAGGAGATGGAATGTGCCCAGCAAATCTGAGCTCTTTKTCCCTGTTTGTTTTCGTCTTTTCAGAGATCTGGCTACATATCTGCATATTCCTTTCTTCCAMTGTCAGGTTGATTTTCTGCCTGGTGTGACCCTTTACATCAGGACATCATGTTTAGTTTGGTGTGTCTGAGCATTTCACAACCAGCACAGGTCTGCTTCTATTGTGGGAACAAAAGTTTGAATAAAATCACAGAGGCTGACCAGTTTAATCGACTTCAATCATAGGCTGTGTTGGTAGTAATGTATAAAAGTCGGTCCATGTTTGCGGTTTTAATCCTAGTTGCCTAATACTTTCTGCCTTTTGAACTTTTCAAACCTTACAAATGTGTYTTTTCATTGTTTGTTTTAGGCACTCTTCTGCAGAGATCAGAGAACAGTTCACTGGAAACTATGGCTTGCAACACAGCCGAAGCAACTCCAGCACTTCGGGCTCACCTTACACTACAGTGGTGAGTTTCCTGCCAACAAACCAGCAAACAATGACAGCACTGTCTGACAGGATTTTATTCATACTTCACTTATTTTCTGTATATGTGTGCAGTTCAACACTGACATGACATRTGCTTTGGTACGATCTGCAGAATGTTTTCCTCACAGTGCTCGCCACTAAAGGCTTTTAAGCACATCATCCTCACATCCTCTTTAGTGTCATTAACCCAGAGAATGTCTGACTGACTCAGTGTCTGTCTGCTCTGGAAGATTAATACTTGGTGTCCTAATAAATCCACCACAAAACAAGGAAATGTGTTTTTGCTTCAGTTTTCACACAAACTTGGGAAACTGCCCATTCTGTGTCGAATGAGTGCTGAAATTTACTTTAACAAGTGAGTTTCTAAAGCTGAACACTGGCTAAAAGCCCAAAGTAATTAAAGGCTAATTGAAAGATAAAAGATGCAAAAGCTGTAAAAGAAGCTAGCTAATAGCCAAAAACAGCTAAATATTAGCTTAAAGCTAAATTTAATCAAAGGCTAGCTAAAAGCCAAAAGTAMCAACAGCTAAAAYTAGCACAACATTAGCTACAAGYCAAAAGTGACAATGAGATAGCTAAATGCTAAAGGGGTTAAACTCTACCTAAAAGTAGAAAAAGCRAGCAAAAAAATCCTAAATGTTGCAAAATGTTATCTAAAAACTAAAAAGGGCAAAACAGCTATAAACAGAAAAAAAATGTTAGCTAAAAGTAGCAAAAAGAGAATTAGGAGCTTATGTAGCAGCTAGCTAAATGCTACAAATAGCATAGCTTTTTAAAGAGAATAATGTTTTTGAAGATATGAAAATGCTCTTAATGTATTTC